TACAGCTGCCATCTTGATTTGTTTTACTTTCCCCACCCCACCCTGATGTCCTTATTCTTGAACAGCCCAAACTGCATTAATCACACTATTATTAGGAACAGATTGCAGAGAGATGCCCTCAACCTCCACGCATCTTACTTCGATGCGTATTTTGACGGTTGTATTTTAACTCTACGATTTATCAACATATTCTTCCTACTTGTCTTAGTTGAGCAAGCATGGGCATTTTCCGAAGCAACGTTGTGCCTGTTTACTCTTTGGAAATCACTTCCTGGCCTGTTTTTAAAATTCACAAGTGCTAAAAATAATCCCCAGCCTCACCCGCACATCTTAAACCAGTTCAGGATTTGACATTTTGCCTGAATTCATTTGCATTTCATTTGTACATATTTCTGCTTAATAGGTGGAATGTAAGAAAGCACAACCTAAAGAAGTGATGTTTCCACCAGGGACGAGAGGTAGAGCTCGTGGATTACCATATACCATGGATGCTTTTATGCTTGGAATGGGAATGTTGGGTAAGTATGCAAGAGAATGAATAATTGACTAGAATTTATCTCAGTTTCCAGTACAGATTCCAATGCTCTGCTATGCTTACAGTAACTAGGCAATTGGCAAGAAACCAAACTGGTACTTTTTCAATGGATTATCCAATTCCTAGGTTCAGAATTTACCTGACTTTTACAGGATGCCACACCAGCAAGGAGGGGAATCTGTGCTTGCTGGGCCCATGCCCCCTTTGGAATATCAACATTTGTATTTAAATGGATATTTCCAGTAGGCTGTTCGCCTCACATTCATAAAAAACAAATCTATGGTTAAAAGGGTTTTTTTCCCCCCTCTCCTCTTTTTTTTGGGGGGGGGAGGGAGAATTAAGTCACAGATTCTTCAAGGTATCTTTGACAGTTTAGCGGAGATAATTAAAAATCTTCATGGCTTTAAATGGCACAAAAGCTGGAGGAAGCCTGGGGAGAAGCTTAATAGCATGGGTTGTGGCAATAATTAGAAGTTCCAAGGAGAGAAGATGGTATTTGAGTCCAGACCATTGTGTCCAGAAAATACTAATTAAACAGGATAAATTGTATTTAATAGTGAAATTCTATTTGTATGATAGATCATTCTCAGTTATAATTGGCTCTCATTTGCTTTTGCTTAGTTTTTCCTGTATTACCTAAGAATTGCTTAGGGTCTGTGTAACAAATATCTCTGCATATGTGCTTGTGGGTGTGCCCGGGTAGTTGGTCAAACAGATGAATCAATAGAGAAGGATGTCAAGAAGCTCTTTATTCACTATTAATATTTTTCCCCCGTTCCCCAGAAATGGACTTTTATTTTTCCATCTAACCCTTCTTTGCTTTGTATTAGCAAGTTAATGCTTTGGTCTTCCTAGTTCTTTGATGTACGCCTAATGCAGGAGTTTTAACCAACACAATGAGACATACTTGGGCCTTCTCTCCAAAAGTCTCTCTCTTTCTTTTAGTGGCCTGTCTATCTCGAGATATACATGTCTTTCCTCCTGGTGAGATTCTCTGTCATGTGTACTAAGGGCACAGAGTGGGTATGTGTTATAGTCCTCCATACGTGCACTAGATAGTAAGATTTGCAATGCACATGAGTTATCATTGCTGCATCTTTATGGGAGAAATGTCAGCAGCTATCTTAAAAAGGATCAGTCTATTAGGTTCCATAATTTAGCACTGCCTACTCTGACGAGCAGAGGCACCCTAAAATCCTGGCAAATAGAAATCAAATAAATAAATATAGATTGGTTGATTTGATTTATACTGCCACTTATCTTATGTAGCATAACCCTGGGCAGTTTACAAGCAATAATGAAAACAGTAAAAGCATTAAAACCAGCATAAAAAACTTCCAGCATCCCCAAAACCAACACACTCCTCACATCTACAACCAACTTTTCTGGGCTCCAGCCTTACCCTACCCTAACGCTTGTGGGAAAAGTTCTCAAGGCCTTTCGGAAGCTAGAGAGATAGGAGCCTGCTGGCTCTCAAGGAGAAGGGTGTTCCAAAGGTCAGGGGACACTACTAAGAAGGAGTGTTGCCTACGTCCCACTAGATGGCAACATTTAAGGGAAGGAACCTGGAGCGCACCCACCCTATTGGACCTGGCAGATATCCTCAGGGAGAG